CACACACACACACACACACACACACCTGTTGCTCTGTAGTCCCAGCTGGGTGACTCCAGGTGCTCCTGCAGCCCACCAGCCTTCATCTCTGTTAAATGACATCACTGAATATCCTGATTCTTTTCCAAGGTAGTTATACGTCCTTGAAATGTTTGTCAGCTCCACACCAGCATAAAAAAAACCTTTGGGAATGTTGGGAAGCAGATGGGTTAGCCTTGATTCCTTTAGAATGGAGAGGAACAGCAGTAAAACATTTATGGTTCAATTAGTTTCTGCACATTGTGCCCACATGGTTTACACATGCAGTCAGTGTGCCACTGCATAGCAGGGGGCTTCGTTCTAACATCCCCCAGCAGATTCCTCCAAAAAGGAGAATGTTGCCTCTGTTTTGTTTTGAATCAAACTGAATTGATTTGCTGATAGTTTTTGTCTCTGTTTTTGCTCCTAAATGTCGCTGCCTCTCTGCAGCGTGTCAGAGATGTCTGGATCAGGAGCCACTCCTGTGTGTGTTTACATGAGAGACGAGGTACGCAGCGTTCCTTCTACTCTCCCTTTTTAAGAAATGAAAGTGAGGTTTACGACAACACAGCTGTTTGTTGGTGTGTGTGTGTTTATGTGTGTAGGTGAGTGGGGAGGAAGCACTGAAGACCGTCACTCTGAAATCTCTGGGACTTACAGGAGGAAGTGCCATCCTCAGGTAGACTGTGTGTTCACTTTTGTGCTGCTGTGTATTATATTAAGTTGCTTAAAAATAAGGCAACAACAACAACTATTATTATTATTATTATTATTATTATTATTATTGCTGTTTGTTCTGTTACAAATCATTGTCAGAACAAACCCTGTTTAGCAGCACAGAGATTGAATCTACTGATTTACGTTCTGAGGCATTTTTCTCTCCCACCTCTGAAAGGCGACAATGAAACATTTTTGTAATGATAAAAAAAAAATAAACATGTAGAAGAACAGAATGTTGTTAGTGTACTGAGGAAATAAAAAAACAAACAAACCAGCATTAAAAAGTTGGACAAACAAATTTAAAAACAGAGAAAAAGAACTTGGAGTCCTGCTTCAGTCAGCAATGTTTTACTAAAATTGTCATTTCTGTTTTTTACCTTTAGTTACTTATTGTACTTTCAGATATTACAGAGTATTTAAATATGTGTTAAAGGGGCAATACAGTGGTTTGCAAAAGTATTCATACCCCTTGAACTTTTCCATATTTTGTCACATTACAACCACAAACATAAA